AATTCCATGTCAAATATGTAAAGAAAAAGATAGGAAATAGATGAGGCTGGAAAGGAGGCTTATAAAAGGTTGAATTGCAAGGGAGGAAGCTTCAAAGGTCCAAATCAGATGGTCAAATACATAAGGCTTGAGAGAGAGAGAGAGAGAGAGAGAGAGAGGTTGTTGTTGGAAGTCAAAAATCAATGCATGTGAGCCAAAAATCAATGTTGCTGGAAGTCTATTGCTGGATGATGTTCTCGCTTTCAAGTGATGAGGTTGAACACATCATGCACACAAGTTTTTGGGATGTCTTTGGATATGTGTGCTACAAAAGTTTTACATAATTATTCCCATCGATCTAAATAGGTGAAAATTCCAATGCAAGTATTCTCCGAAATAAATCCTTTTTGTTTTCTCGACGACTTTCAATATCTCAACGGAGAATATGCTTTCTTTCTTTATGTTTCTTAGAAATGGTTATGAAAATTGTATTTACTATAAAAATTGAATCTGTTCTACGATGATTTGATACAACAACAATCTTCATTAGCTAAGCTAAGTATTACATTCATAATTAGTTCCTTCATAAATATATAAGCTTAAGTTGTTCCAATTAAGGGTTATGGAATTTTGATGATGCATCAATTTCAACCAACCATCGTGTTTGATTCAATATATATTATTAGCTAACATAAATATGAGGACAATAACCCTTTAATCATTATCAGAACAGATGAATATACTATATTATTTTCTCAAAAAAAAAAATCATAGTCGATGAAACAATCATAAATATATCAAGAAAAAATTTATTTTTGCGTGGATGATGAGTTCGACTCTTTAACCATTATATTTTATGAGGTCGATAATTACCATAATGTGTACGTATCTAAAGGGACTTTGCACTCATTAAGGAGAGTCTCGTTGGTTCAATGCATCCATCCATCCGAATGCGTCCATACAAAGTCGGTCGAAGTTGGTGCAGCCTTCACATCTCTTTTATCGACTTGAAGAAGCTTGTCCAAATGATGCCACCACAATGTCCTTAAATCAAGCCTAAATTATTGGCACATGAAGTGCTCGTAAATAATGAATCCTACTCGAAAATAATTGCACAAATGATTTGTTCTTTCAACCATAAAATTAATTGCTTATCGCCCATATCAGATATGGGAAGTTGAAATGGCTCGTTAAAGATTGGGTCACACCCATCATCATATCCTGGCATGTGGATTATAAATCATATTTTTGGCGTGTGGATCATAATTTGTCATCATCGAATCAAAATTAAAAGAAAAATAGGGTGCCCTTCAAAAGTAATGGGGACTACTCTCCTTTTTGCTTTTATAGCATTACTCGTATCGTATTTTTCTTTGATTAGCAGTGACGTATGACTCGAGTGTCATATGACCTGGTAAGATTATATTTCGAGATGGTTACGTGGTTTTCGAACTCGGATCATGATAAATATAATAATACTATCACAAAAGTTCTTTTTAGCTCATATCGGATTCAATCTGTGATGGGGACAGCATATGTGGCAAGTGGATAAGTGACAGCTGGGCATGCTTCGTTGGGCCAATCTATCAAGGATTCGATCCTTACCCCAAGATTCTGTCTGGATAAGTTGCTTATTGGTCCAGACACGGGGGGTCCCACTTTTGTCTCGAAAGATCCAAATTTTGAGGAGTAAATATTAAAAAAGGGATTTTACATGTATCAATCATCATTTCAAGGTTTGTAATAGCATGCTTTTGACCCTCCAAATATTAATATCATTTAATGTACGACTCCGTTAATTTCTGTCCAATAAACTCAAGTTAACTACCGATCCTAAATATCATTGATTTCTTAAAAATTAAAATGTTAAATATCTAAAAGACCGATTAGAATTGTCATTAATTATTTGATTGACCTCTCCGAATTGAGAAAATTAATTCTCTTGATAGGCATCAATTGTTCCCACGTGTTATTTTCTTAATGAATGCAATAGCATAGAAGATAAGATTTTCTCAGAAAATCTCTTTATTCTTTTGAGAAAAAATCTTATTTTGTTGAGAGTAATCCTTCCTCCTAATCTGTATAAATAGGAGAAAGAAATGTTAATATATTTAAGCTAAAACTTTTTCGATAAAACTTCTTCAATAATTATTTTTATTTTCTATTCTTTTCATCACTGTCAACTAATAAGAAGCATAGAGAAATCTGATACATCTGACATATGAGTTATCAAATGGCAAAATGAATAGAAATTAGCTATTTTGAGGCAAAACTTTTTCTAGGAATGCTTCCGAATATGCATAGCATTTGCCTTCCACCTGTATTTTTAATGGGATAATGCATTCTTCTTCTGTCCGATTAGTTTCTCGATTGCATTCAAACAATTTTTTATTTGTTCTATCGATTTATTTTAATTTTACTCGATCAGTACAGATTTTTTTATTTTTTTGGGCCAAAAAATAAAAAGAAAAGGTTTGGTGAATGTTCTATGTACAGAATCATGAAATGTGTTCACTATTAACTCCTATCTTTTGAGCTTTCAGTCATGAAGTCGGTGTTAGAGACAGGCTTTTTAATAGCAGACTCGCGTTTGGAAGCTGTAAACTGATACGACTAATTACTTTGATCTAACATGATGGAAATGGTCATAGAAATGCCGAATGGGAAGCATGAAATATCCTTGCAAGTTTTTGTTGAAATACATATGTGATCACAACCCAAACTGATGTATTAAAGGACATAAATCAAATCATTCTTCTTCTTCTTCTTCTTCTACAACCAGCAAGTCAGATCAAGTGTGAGAAACGCTAGCCGCCACTTGGCGAGTAGATGGTCAAAGTGGTGCACTGTGAGAGTGATGTGCTCAAAGAACCGAAGCCAAAGGACCAAAAGGAAAGGAACATTGGTTTGATGTGGGATCTGTTGAGCGAGATCAATTGACCCAATTATATTTTTGTCATGTTTTTATTTTGGATGGAGGATGCCATTTACGGGTGGCAAACCGATAGGGTATTTAAATCGAAATCCGGTTCGCATGCCTTTAGCTCGATTAATATAATAATTGAAATGATACCTATAAATTTTATCCTCGTAAAGTCTAACTGATACTTTTCAACCGGGATATATAAAATAAAAATTGATGGAAGAGATAAAAAATAGTGATTTTTATTTGGTGTAATTAGAGTTCAAATTCTTGCTATTGAAAAAAATTGAAAATCTTGAATGAACACTTAATCTTTCCAATCTTTTCACTCCTCTAGAGTAAATGAGTAAATGTAGACCACATCAACTCCTAAGTTTCTTCCATAGATTCTATGAATGCTAACTCATAGAATCGTTTCATATTAATCTGAAAGAGATAATATCTTCTTTTGTGTATTCAGAAAATTGAAATCGTTTTATCCTAAATGGGCTCATGGATTCAATGTTGAATTCTATCAACACTTTAGAACTTTCTAAAGTCCCACATTATGAGATTATTTACTGCTTTCCACTCCTCTAAGGATATCTTCAAGAGTAGAGTTGGTGGAGAACTCTTCTATTCTTTATTCTTAAAAAGAAAACCCTCTTGATGTCAATAACTTTAGACCCATTGCTCTCTATGGTTTACGAGCTCTTATCTAAAGTCTTTACAAATAGAGTCAAGCCATACCTATAAAACCTCATTAGTCCTAAACAATATATGTTTGTTCAAAGTAGAAGTATTCATAATAATATTCTTATCGTGAACTTGTTCATACTCTCTCCAAATCCAAAGACAAATCTGCATTGGTTCTTTCGAAGCTGGATATTGAAAACACTTTTGATTCACTGTCTTGGAGTGGAAGCTCTTTAGCATATGAATTTTCCTTGGGCCTATGTTAATTGGATTCGAGCTTGTATCATCTCTTTCATGTTTTCATGTCTAATCAATGATTCTCTCTCTAGATGGTTTAGCTACAATAGAGGTATTATTAGGCAAGGGGATTTTTTTTTTCTCCCTACTTGTTCATCCTTGCCCAGTAATTTTTTTCTTCCTAGATTTCTCTCTCTAAATCTCAAAAGCTAATCACCTCTTTCGATCTAAGGGGATTCCATTTAATGTTTATTGATAACATGCTTATAGCAGCATTTCGAGCCAATCTAAAAATCTTATTCCAATTTCCTCATAGCCTCTATAATAATATTCCAAAAGCTCACTAATCTCAAGTCAATTTGAATAAATTTAATATATATTTCTCCAAACATATGCCCCTCGTCTCTAAATATCTTGGATCATACCTTTTCCATTGGTCAAAGCTATTAAAGTATTATTTATAGTTGACAAAACCATCTCTCGTGTTCAAAGATGGTGCGAGGGTCTTATTTCTCAAGCAAGTAAAGACGGTGTTAACACCCAAGGCGACGACCACTCAAATCTTATCCCTCGATCGTTTATGATTTTTGATCTCTCTTACATAAAGGGCGTTCGCCCTTACGAACGAGATCCATCAACTTGGTCCTGATCTGGAGGGGTTTGGAAGAATGATTGATACCTTTGGAATCCTATCATTGAGGCAGGGAGTTTTGTTTTTGTGTTGCAATGTGATTGCTCGTTTTTGTCTCCTAACTTACCCTGCTTCGTCTTCTTCTCTCCAGCTGCTATCACTGTTGTCGGAGGCTGCTGCTACTCCTGCAAAGCTCACAAGTCCACCATGGTAGAGGCACTGACGGCGTTGGTTGCTGTGAAGCGCATCATTGGAAGCACCTGTTTTGGGTTGTTTCTAACTCACTATGTGGAGGATGGTTCACAAGAAACCCACCTGCCCTTTCAGACAAGAACTAATTAACTAATAGAAGCTAAAAAATGAACTAATAAACTGCTTTCAGACAAGAACTAATTAACTAATAATAGAAGCTAAAAAATGAACTAATAAACTGCTTTCAGACAAGAACTAACTAACGTAGAGCACACTAGATAGAGCTTAACAGACCCATTACCAGGACCCATGCTGATTTCAGACAAGAGCTGCACGTGAACAACTAACATGGAGACTCACCAGTAAATGAAATACCTCTTCTTTTCTTTCATTTTTCTATTCCCTTTGCCTTGTGCAAAATATAATCTATTATTCATTTTCTCGACAACCCAAACAAATCAATAAAATGTTCGGGCAGTTCTTTCCCTACTCGGTCTTCTCAATAATATGCCAGACTTAACCTCATTTGGGTTAATCCAGCCAGTCTCTATGGCCCTACACTGTTCTGTTAGATTTCGACAATGTTCATTTTTGTCGGCATACAAAAAGGATCTGCTCTCATCGCTGTGATGTTTGACACACCCAGGCCTCTCAGCCTCCACCTGGTTGATTTCCCTGCCTGAAGAATTAGCGATGCATTCAGAATCGTCGCCTCTGTGGTGATCTGGCATTGACCCACTTAAGACTGCTTTTGAGGAATGTCTAGAGCTCAGAGGAGAACGAGTGAATCCATCAGACTCCTCAAGGACTCTTAGGGGGCTATTCAAGTTGACACTGTCTGACTCTCCGGACATGCGTTCCCAGTACTCTTCAGTACTTGTTGAGTCCCTTGTGCTCTCGGTGCTACAAGAGGAACCTTCATCGAAGAGAGAAGAACTGTCGCTGGAAGAGTCGTTCCGCAGAGGACGGAGCCTTTCATTGAAAAGATCTGATGAACGGAAATTGGAATGGTCACTCATCGTCCGCTGTGGGTAAAAACAAGTCCCTTGCTGTGCTACTGATGGACCACCAGGCTTTAATTTGCTTCTAGTCTTCCTTGCTTGTTCAAGCTCATGGGCCAAAGCTTTCCTTACGGAGGTTGGAGCACGTGGCGAACACCTAATTTGAAATGCCAATTCACTGAGAACTTAAAAACACCCAATTGAAACAAGATTGTGACTCCAGAACATTCAACTTTACCTGGCATAAAGAAGCATGTATGCACCTTTTGATAAGACCTCCTCAAGCTCCACGGGATTTACCTGTGCAAAGAGATGGAATATTAAGGCAATTCATTGTTGGATATTCTGTGTACCCATGATGACATACAACTAATTTTTGTTTTTCTAAGATTTTATGGATGGCATTGAATTAAGCAGCGCATGACCATTAGGATGATCGGTACCAGGTATGCAATTTAAACCTCGTCGTGATACTAGAGTGTCATGTACAAAACATAGGTTCAAAGAGAAATAAGAGAATGATTTGCTATTGCATAAATCACAATTTAATTGTGTAAAAGGTACATCCATCTTCATCAAATTAAGTGAAGTTACCTATCAAAACATAGAACTAAGCAGATTCTATCTCTGTTCCAAATCAAGATGAGAATAATGCTTAGAGTTATTCAGACAATTCTAATATAAGTATACACATTCTCTATCATATACAGGAATAAGTTTGTCAAAAAGGCCTTTCAATCAGTATAAGAATTTAACAAGCATTATACCTTGCTATCATTGATCTTGTACCACTTGCCTTGTGTGTCCTTCACATAACAAACATAGTGACCAGAAAAGGAAGCATTCTTGACATCTATGTGAACAATTGCAGCATACAGCCGGTAAACAGGGGACTTGTCATCTCCGCTCATGTAAGGAGCTAAATCGAGGTACTCATGGAACCGGACAGGTTTGTTGAGCTTGCCAAACATACCAGACTGCAAAAAGAATAGAAGACTATCTTTATTCTGTCTACCCGAAAGGTGGTAAAGATATCCTACCAGTCCCCTCAAATAACTGAATTAACTGGAGACAAAGAAACTTATTCCAAATATACTTATGAGGTAAAATGACAAGCAAATATCACTTCTAGCTGAACTATAAGCTATAAGTCAAACAGAAGAAAAACGTTTTGCTTACAAGTAATTACCTGAAATCGTTTCAACACAATGGTCAGGACATTCGGTGCCTCCAATATTGTCAACCTCTTTTTCGCTCGCTCATAAGACTTACATCTGACAAGAAAAAATACACAGTATAAGATCCGTAAAAATAAGAAAGCATCACCTGTGAGTACCATTATAATCATAGAGAAACAGGTAGCAAAATATGTACTATCTGCATATTCATCATGATGTATAAATGTGTCAGTTGTATGTCAGTTAGAGCTGAGTTATATCGGAACAAATTTTACTAACTTGATCTGGTAGTCACCTTGGTGACTATCATCATGGTGGGAAGAACAATACCAATCACAAGCTACTTCTGATACTATGAGGTTATAGCCCTATATGATTTGCATAAACAAGCAGGGAAAGCTGTATTAATGGAAAAGGAACTAGCCTAGTTAGTCAATTTCTTAGGAACGTCAAGTTCGATTCATGCCAGACCAACTGATAATTAAGCAACCAAATCATGGACAGCCCTTGGTGATCTGTTCTACCTTGAAAACTCAATTGGACAAAAAGAATATTATTATGATGCACTACCCACTATCCTTCTTGTGATTCTGATTTCTTAGTCATCAAAAGATGAGATACAAATTTCTTTATAAAGCCTAAACGACCAGTAGTATTTATTGCCAGAATATAATTTCCACATATGCATTAAAGAATAATCAAATATAAATCGTATGTTCATCTCCATCATGAGAATTTAGGATTGAAATGTCATTTAGGCATATTAAGTTGGTCAACAACATTAACTGTCGATGTGGCAATGTTGGTGACCCCAGAAAATCCTTATTTTAGACTTTTTTTTTCTTCTAATTTTAGACTTTGCAGCTTTCCCTCACTTGGCTGCTCATTCTCTACTATCTCTTTGCAATTTACGATAAAAGCTGGGTAGCAATAATATAGACATATTTAAAAGGTTTGTCTTATGAACTGAATGTGCTCAGAAGGAAATTGTCGGAAAATAAAAGATCAAAGCTGTTTTTTCTGACCACAGGGTTTGATACCAAAATTACTCCATAACGTATTCTAGCGTGTTCAACTTTCAACAATTAAAAAACATGGAAAAACCAACCTGCCACATTCATACTTGTTCTCCCCATCCAAAATTTCTGGAGATGTAAAACGGAGAAGTGCTTCATCAAGGGTAGAGATATTGCCATCTATCTCTACAGTAAGATCCATCATTCTTTCACATCGCTCAGACTTGCTCTTGCATCTACTGCACCTTATCTGCATTCATTAATCATCAGCCATTTAGCAAATTATCATGATTAGACATCCAAAATAAACAGTTTTAATAGTATATAAAATAAAGCTTAAAATTAACTTGCCTTAGATCGCAAGTAGCCACCAAAAGTTTGTTGTATGAGTGTTGTTTCTTCTGCTAATGGGCCATCTGGTTTTTTTCCAGCTTCCATTAAGCAAACAGATTGCATAGCATCAATAGCATACCTGCCAAAATGTATGAATAAAATCAATACTTTTAACTATAGTAACCCTTTGAAAAGGAAGCTATATTTAGCATGGTTTGTCTTATCGGTCCATACCGGTGTATCGACCCATTGTCAGTACAGTATATACCGAGCTGTACCGAGTGTACTGACACGTGATATGGTGAGACATACCGATGTAACACCCATATCGGTCCATTGTTGGACTAATACATACTGCTCAACTAATTGAATCTCATATGCAATAAGTCAGCCAAGATAGTTTAGTGTTGACCACTAGGCGTTAGAGAACAAACTGAACAAGCCAAACTTAACAGAAAATACTAATCCCAAAAGAAAAATAAGAGGTGGGAGTAAAATAACCTAAAAATATGTATCCCCAAGAGTGCAAGTAGCATTTGCTTTGTGCTCACGTTTGCAGTGCAGTGGCACAGTCAGACACATGTCTTATGCAAACAGCCAATTGGCATAACCAAAATATGCAAAAACAAGATCCTTGCTTTAACCTAATATGAACTTCAGCTAACCCCAGACAGCATCAAGTCTCTTATTCATCATTTTTTATCATGAACCTAAAATTAAGAGAGAGAAATTATAAATCACAAACTAATTCTGGCAAACCCTAGTTTGCATGCACCCAAAGAAGCACAAGCCACCTGGAACCAAGCATATTTACTTTTGATCATCCCAACCCATGCCTTCACGTCCTAATTATAGAAGCTAACAGTATCCTTATCCATGTACGAATTTAAAAGTAGTTATTAGCAAAAAAAAATCTCAAAAAATAAATACAAATAAGGTTTATGTCAACATTTCTCTTATTTAATATCATGTCCATATAAAACTAATGACAAGGATTTGAGAGTTTTTAAGGCAACATCTGATGTTCAATCTCACCTTAAGAATTCGTGGGCATCTTCTTCTTGCCCATGGCCAAAATTACTTCCAATATTGTGTAAATGAGAGAGTATACCAATGGGGGACAAAGGAGAGTTCCCTTCCTTTGCCTTCATGGCAAGCCTTTCAAGTTCACATGTAAAGCACCACTCTTTCTTTGGACCTAGTAGCAATGGTAAAAATTTAAAAGATCTGTGTTTTTTAATACAGCAATAAGAGAAAAAACAACAAAACATCATAGATGACATACTTACATATTTTTGAGTGGAGACCTTCGAGAAAATATGCAGTCAATGGTCGAGTAAATGCCAAGCACTGGAGAACAGCATTAGCATAACAGCTGCAATCAACAAACAAACATGTTTGAGGAGGAACATTAGTTGATTGACTGTACATAGATGGTTTAGGTCCTCATATGCCACGAAAAGTGCACACGTGCATCCATTATATCATGACAATAGGAACTAAGTCAATATGATATATATTAGGAATGCAATATATGCATAGTTCATCATATAAGTAATCAATTTCTTTAATTGTATCAGTTCAGAAATCTGTGAGAACATATAGATTTGTAATGAAAGTGCTTCCAATCTCTATATCAAGATATTATATACAGCTAAGATGGATTATAGGAGTTGCAAACGACTTCAGGACAATAGTTGATCATAAGTTATAATTCAGAAGTCTTAACAGTGAAGAAAAGAAGGGCAGAATGATTTTGTAAGAAGCAAAACAACTAACATACACGGGAAAAATTTTCAACTACAGAAACTATTACAACTTCAGATAGCTTGCTGCCAGTATCTTTGACAAAGAATTAACATGCCAGCTAGAAACAGGAAAGGTACGTGGGTGCTTGTCCATGCACCTTGCCCCTGGTACATACCTGCACATGTAACTGCCATGACCAGGCATGAGTACAGCATGAATGATTAGTTCATGTCCAACCCAGTACAGCCACATGACTGGCAAGCAAACTCAGCAATCATTATGTTTGACTAGACTAGATATGGGGCAAAGTATAAGCAGCAGTAGTATTAAAGAACTGGAGTATATAAGAAGCAGCCAAAAACACAATTTATATGGGGCAGCACTTGTTTATACCTATTTCCACAGTTAATAAGACCACAGGGACGCAATTCAATCTTGTCAGAGTTGTAGAGTTTAATGAAACGATCATATGGAAAAAGCATCTGCAAGGCCAACAATAACAATATAGTAAGCTGGAGAAGTCCATGAAAATCAACTTAACTACAACAGACTTAAATGCCAGTATGCAAATTCTTGTCATCTATACCACTCTGTTGATATTGAAGAAGTTCACTTACCAATTCTGAAGAGTAAAGCCTTGAAATCTTAGAAGATGTAAACTCCTTAACAACTCTTTTCACAGATGTTGACATCCCATTTGCTATAGAACCATAAGTATCAGGTGATCCGACAGGTCCTCTAGGAGCATTACTAACCTTTGAGGATTCATAACATACAACAGGGTGAGCACCACCATTAGAAGATAATTGATCAGAAGCATATGCTAATGGTCGCAAAGTTCTGGAATTCAAAGACTGTATATCAGTGCTCGTCCCATTAACAACAGATCCTAATATTTCTGTGTTTGAAGTTAGCGTCTCCTTGTGCTCCAATTGAGACTTAGCTTCTAATGATTCAAATGCATGAGAAGAAATTTTTTCGGATCTTGAAAATGTATCTGGATGAATCCCATTACCAACTCCCCGAGGAGAAGTGATCTGACTACCAGCAACTTCAGGGTGCTTAGTACTTGTATGATCAAAAGATGAAGTTGCTTTTAAGCCAGATGGTTCATTCGACATGAATTTATCTGCCTCTGCTTTGCATGTGGATGCCTTCTCCTTTATATTACTGAAGCAAGAAGTGTTATTTGCCAAAGGACTTGATCTACCAGGCTCAGAAGTTAAAGATTTGGAAGGATCTACATAACTAGCATTGGCCACTGTTCCAAGGCTGCTAGTAGAACTATCAAAAGATGAAGATTCTCCCGGCCTACTATCATGGAGCGGAAGTAGATTGCCAACGGTCAAAGTATCATCAGGAGTTCCAACACTAGGACCAGAAGTCGTTTCCATTCCAGATACATCCATAGAACCACTTTCTTCATGTTTGTTTTTTTTATTAATATCATTATAAGAATATGCGAGTTCAGATGCAGCAGGCCTATCGGAAACCATCTCAACTGCTTTGGTATTTAGCTCGTCTCTATGCTCAAAACTATTCTCAAAAAAACCAGAGTGTTCAGCTTGCACTCCCTTCAAACCAGAAAATTTTAGTTCACCATTATGGTCATCACTAACTTGTGGAGGATGGCATTCATCCTTGTGGCCTTGTCTCCAATGAATAATCTGGCATTTGCCAGAGCTGCAATAAACAAGGAAAGAAAAGTTCAACTTTAAGCATGAACATCGGTCTGTAATTTATGCAAAAAGATAAAAGATGCCACGATATTACAGGGTAGCCAGTTGCAGTACAGTACGGTACCTGTGTTGAAATTTTCATATTCATTCATGTATAACATCAAACAAGCAGATTAAGCACCCATTAGTAAATAAAATTTTTATTTAAACGGGTGAAACTTGTAACATTGTGAGTCAATCGATTGGTTTCTCTACAACTAATCCGTAGACGAGAAGTCTACAAACTTTTGATGGCTGAACATTTTGTTATGATAATAATTTATTATCCTTGAGTTTTTAATTTGGCAGTGGACTATAGTTCCTGATTCTTCAATGAAATAAATTTATCTCTTGCTGATGTTATGCTTTCATACTATATCATACTTCACAAAACAATGAGTCAAATCTTAATCAATTTTTCATGACCTAAAGTTCACATTACTAAGGATAATATAATCAAATTTTCATGACCAAAAATTTTAGCTGCATAGGTAACAAATTTTGAGAACCCTCACTCAATCCTGCATCACTAATCTAGCTGCGTCAGTAATGAAGTAAAAAGCTCAAGAAACTAAGATACATGTATTCTTTTATCTTGCATCACTAGAATTTACACCAGTCCAGAATAGAAACTCATAAGTCCAAGCAATATTTTTGTTCCAACAATTAACATAAGTCACAATGCAGAAAGAAAGAATTAATATAGGCTGCAGCAGAAAAAGTAAAAAGTTCAAGAAGCTACTATACAAATACCATTATTATTATTATTATTTTTCATCACTAGAATATGCACCAGTCCGAAATGGGGGCACATATAAATTCATGCAATATTTTTATTTCAACAACTAACCTAATGTATAAAAATGGAGAACCTAACACCGACACCTTCTCAAATCACTTTCTTCTCCTAGAGAACGAGTACATGACATTTCCAGGTGGAAAAAGGGAGGTTTTGATATTTTCCAGTCTTTTATATCTCCGCTGGGTAGTGCAGGACTTTTCTTCAACCTCAAGCTAACAGCTTCAGAAATTGTCCTCCAATCGTAGGGTCAATAAAGATTCCAAAATCTCCAAATAAATAGAAGAAGCATCAATTTCACTCGTCACTAACCTAGGTATATACAACAAACTGAATTAGGAAACAAAAATCCTTTCAGGTCAATAATATGGCGTCCAAGTTTTACAGGCCACATTGTCTTAAAATCAACAGTGAAACCCTAAATCGATATAACTCGTTTCAAGCCACTAGCCAAAATACCCGCAGAAAAGATAAAATTGAAGGGAATCAACAGAATTACAAGCAAGAACGAAGAGAATTCGAGTCTACCAACCAGTATCTGACAGCCTTGCACCGGGCACACCTTGCGGTGGCAGGGCTCAAGCACACGGGGCACTCCGGCCGCGCCGACGGGTCTTTCGCAACGGCAGCAGCAGCAGAAGCAGCCACATGTGACGAGGCAAAAAAGACCGTTATCGCCTCCATCTCCGCCCGCGCGGCCTCCTCCGCCGCGAGTCGCGCCAGCCGCCGGACCTCCGCCTGCCTCACGGAGGCCAGGCGCCATCTCCTCCGCACCACGAAGGCGATCAAGGGCACAATTAGGAGGAACACCAGAGACGCCGCCCCCGAGAGCCCTAGGTCGCGGTGTAGGGGCATCTGTCCGCCGACGCTCCCCGGCTAGCAGCTTCCGATGTCCGTCCTCCTCGGCCGCGCCGGACGCCACTCATAGATCCGCCGGCGGCTGCCGCCCCGCAACCGACGACCACGATATCCCTAAAATCATCTTGCCGTTGGAGCACGATTACACGCTTCGCCGATGCCGCCAATGGAAACAAGAGAGAGAAGGAAATTGGAAAAGGAAGGCAAAAGAGAGGAGGATTCGTTTATATTATTAGATCAAGGACGAACGCAGCAGAGCAGAGAGGATATGGTGTTCTCGAGAACTTATAATAGAAATCCTTGTCCGAAGAGGACTGGGAATATTAATCATATATTGGTTAAAATAAATAAATAAATAAATATTAAATAATTCACAAATAAATAAATAAATAAATAAAAATCAATATTGGTTAGATTTTTATTTTTACAATGGAGTCATAGTCACCACATTTTGTTACTAATTTTAATTGGTTGCGTGAGTTAAAAGAATCCAGTGAAACAACATGTAAAAGTATAATTTTGCTTTCATTGACCATAAGGCTTATGCCTTTCTACACGACAAACGTGTTGGAGAATACGAAAACGTAAGATAACTTCCTCGGATCATGCATCACGCATTCATGAATCGGTTGCATGCATGGTTTAATTCTACATCCGATTGAGTATACGAATCACATAGCAACCTCCGAAGAGAACGGAATAGGCAATCGAGCACAAAGGGGATATAGAATATTTTTAAGAATATTATTTTAAGAATATTTTAATCATTAACAGTATTAGAATTATTTTAAGATGTATATATATATATATATAAGAAGAAAAAAATTCTTTATTTGTTTTGGAGGAACACTTGAAGGGAATATGCCGGTGTTTATTCTTCGCCGGCTACGACTGCTGCCGTGGACCATCGATCACGGCCGTCTGATGACCGACATCGATGACCTTTGACCGATAACGACGGCGTCGACAACGTGGACACATTTCGACGGAAGTCTCACGTCCGGGACGTTCGTTGTTCTTGAGACGGTAGGATTAGAACTGGACGGGGTCCCGTATTTTTCGTCTGTCGAGATCCTAACGAATCTCGGCCGTTGGATCTGATGGCCAATCTTTCTGGTTCCGCCAAGCCCATGCGTGGATCCACGTCGGCACCTGACTTTTAATTGGCACGTGGCGTCCCCGGGAACTTACGAGGCCAGCGCGTGACGTCGCAACGACCAAGCGCTGTGTGGCATCGGATCGCCTGTCTCGCTTCGGATAGGCAACGTAATTGGGAAGCACTGCCCAGATGGCCCCACCTTTGGTGGGAGAGTTTAGCGAAGTGCATTCCACAGGATTTGTTATTACTATCAAAAATTATTATGTTGGTAATTATATAGTTTTCGTGTTAACTCCACACTAAGCTAAACATAAAAATAATACGGCATAACCAAATGCAATCTTGATATTGAATTTGGTAGATGGATGCAACTAGAGGTCAACCTAAAGGGCCCCAATTCAAGGGGACATTGGAGATATCTCCGAGCTTCAGTGCCATCACAAGTCTCATCGGAGAATCTTACAAGGAAGAAAACAACACAAGCTGTGTGGAGACTTCATTTAACGTTCTTGGACTCTTTCAGCTGTTTGTCGGGTAAAATTCAAAGCCGGCCTTTCATGTCATTTGTTGCCATTTGAGAGCAAACTTTTTTGCAGCTGAATTTACCTTAGAACTTGATGATGATGATGATGATGTCCAAAAGTTGTAGGTTTTTATGTATTATCTTAGGGTTAAGGTTTGGCGAATGCTCGTAGATCAAAAGAAATTTCATTTCTACTCGGAGGACGAAAGCAACCAAATCACTTTCACGAATAGAAGGTAACATGTTGACTTTTATGGTCGCCTTCTCCTCATGTTTCAAATGTCAAAAAGGTTAAATGTGATGGTTGGATTAGGCGATCCAATTTATAAATAGGATAAGATATATTAATT